TGGGTTCGACGGAACCCAGCATGCCTGGGTTCCACCGAACCCAGCAACGAACCCAGCATGCCTGGGTTCAATGGAACCCAGGCCACGCCTGGGGTTCCGTCGAACCCAGGCCACGCCTGGGGTTCGAAAGGGAAAGAAAAGGGGAAGGGGAAGGGGAAGGAAAAAGAAAAAAAAAGTTTTAAAGTTTCATTTTTTATAATATTTTTTTATATTATTATTTTTTCCATGTCATCACTTTTTTTGGTCTTATTGTCTGCCACGTGTATTAATATTTGACATGTCATCCTTTTCCCGTCAAATAACAAGACACGTAAGGGGATATTTAACGGAAGGACCAAATCGGGGTAAAAATGGTAAATAGTAGGGACCAAATCAGGGATTTTTTTAGTTTAGGGACCAAATCAGGGGTCCGTACAATAGTTCAAGGACCAAAATGGGGTTTTAACCGAAATATTATTATTAGATAGTGTAATGTTTTCTCTCAAATCTTCTACTTCATTAACCTGCATTATAGAATATTTGTAAAAATGGGTACAGACAAAAATCTAAAGACCTGAGGGTTGGTTTAGTCCTTGAATAACATTTAAAGCTTTGAAATTACTTAAGCCTAGCCGCAGTTCATATTAGGTTATTAGGTTATAATCTTTGAATATCAAATTATATAACCTAAAGAAAAAGTACTTGAATGGTTAGAGTTGAAAGAACACTGAATCGAAGCCATACATCTATAGTAGGTGATATTGCGTTTGGATCTACAGGTTCATCTGGTGAATCTCCTGATTCCTTGTTGTTGCAGTTGGGGCATTTCCAATCCCCTTCGGGAGCTTTCTGCAAGTATAAAGAAAAATAGTATCAGGTTCTCTAACAATCAGAAACAAATACAAGAACATAAGTTCTTAAAGCCTATACCTCAAGAGGTGAAGAAAGGTAGTTTAACTGATAGGTTGCTGGGCAGTTGTTGCAACAGAGCAACAGCCCCTGAGTATCACAGATCATGCATTGAAAGAAATGCTAAAAGCAAAAGGACAAACAAAAAGATGGAAAACAATTAGGCATGGCTCATGACAGTTAGAGATCAGAAAAGACATGAGCTTGTGTTGCTTTTTGGATCATTTGAAATGTAACTTGCTTATAGATTCAAAAAAGAACTCACCCCATCATCACCAATTGGCCTCTTTGAAATTCTAACTTTTTCACTCTTGGAAGAAGAAGACACTAGAATAAGAGAGAAGCTTGAAGCCTTCTGTTAAAGATTATTCTAAACCTAGCAAGAAGAGCCAAAGGCAGCGTTGTTTGCAAGGTGCAAGAGTTTGAGATAAAGAGGAGCCAAATGGGTGAATTTATAAGGAGGGAGGATGGTGTGTGTTTGTGTGCTTGGTGGAGATGTTAATAGGGGATACATGAGAGAAATGAGCTGTATGGAGTGCACTTGGCTTTCTTTCTTCTTCCTTAGATGGAAACTTCTGTCCCTTTTTTTCCCTATCTTCTTTTGTTCAGTATAGGCAAAAGAGGGCTTCATAGTTCATTTCAATTTGATTAAATTTCAATGAAGTTTGAGTTAATTTAAGTAACACCCTGTTTTAATAGAAATCATATTCTTTATTTACAAGAAAAATGTTTAAAATGGGAGGAGGATCATTGAAACTTAGGATTTGGAATAGGATCCTGGAAAGAGCAGGTTAGATTTTTGATATCCATTTAGGGTTATAGTTTTTCACTAAGAAAGATTCATTAGTAGATTTTCATTTAGAGGAATTCGTGAATCGTTAAGTAGTTTTCCATTATAAAAAGTTCAGCCAAGTAGTTAATCTTTAGAGAGAGTTTGTTAGTAGTTTTTTGTTAAGAAAAGTTCATTAAGTAAATTTCTTTAGAAGAGACCCTTATGTAGTTTCGCAAATAGTTCATTCTCAAGAGGAGTTTGTAGCATAGTTCCTGGGCTAGAGAAGATTGATTTAATAACCATAACAGGTTATACAATAGGGATAGTGCTCTCATTCTTAAATCCTCCCCATCTACTCTACGATTCGAATTTGAGACCTCCAACATGGTCCCCAGGGGACATATTACGTATCATAATCTATAGGTACATTGTATATCGCCACTATGTTTAAGCAAGAGCTGACTAGGTTACCTTTTATGCAATATTTTTGGTAGCCAACAAGGAATTTCTACCATATTAATAGAGATTCCAAACATGAGAGCAAAATAAGGCATAGCATTGAATTTGCCAGGAATTGGAGATTATTATCCATTCCAAGTTAAACTTTTATGGCTAGTCAATGAAAACAAATCCAAGCAGTGAATTTCTTGTCATTACAAAAGTTAGGTAATTAGAGATTTTCTTGCCAAATAAAGTGTGTCTTGCTATCAAAAGAGAAAACATACTAGATTTTAGTTACCATTTATGAAATTTCAGTGATTTGGTTTTCCATCACCATTCTTATCTCATTCATTTGAATTCATCGCCATGAAAATTCTCCCAAGTATAAGCAGTCTATGACTATATACATAATATATCTTTTTCACAACCTCCTCCTTTTTCTTTTTCTTTTTCCTTTTTTTTTTTTTTTCTGTTTTCACATGAGATTTCAATCTAACAAATATACATGAAAAATTATTTGAGGGCCAAAAGTTGGAGGCCGAATTATAGGCATAATTACCTTGGCAATTTATCATGTGGGACCCACCACATGATCAATGGCCAAAAATATTTGAGGGTCCAACTTTCAGCTCCCAAATCAGTTCTCAATAATCAATATACATAACATAATACAAAATGAGAGGTAAAATTCTCTTTTTCTTTAATCCACTCAATCCAGATTTCAGTGTCTGATCTCTTATCCTATCAGTTACAATTCTTTAAACCAATAAATTTCCCTTTTTCGTTCTTAGGCAGACCATCCTACTTTATCTCTTATTCTATTGTTGTTCTTTTTTTTTTTTTCCTATTTTTTTGCGGACATCATCATCCCACTTTGTTTTACTTTTCTCTTCTTTTAATTGAGTTAATATAGAAAAATTACATTTAAATCTTTTAAAAGGAGTAAAAGACATCAGTAATAGAACAAACAATCGTTTCCCTGCTTCTTACTTAGAAAATCAAACAACAATTAAAGCTACAAGAATTTGTTTCTTGATTTAAACTTTTTTTCCCTTGCTCTTAAGAATTAAATTAACAGCCTAATGATCAGCAACACTATGCTTTATTATATTATTTCTACAGCTTTTCCACCTTAACAATGCCATGCCTTATTGTTCACATGACACTAAAAATGATATATGGTAAATAAGGTATGTAGGACCTAGATGATGATATGGCTGCCAAGTGGTGGGATAATCCTACTTGACAGCCATATCATCATCTAGGTTCCACATGCCTTATTTACCATAAATCAAAAAAATCAGCAAAAATATCAGCTTCTAATAACAGCTTTCCTTGCTAAAATACTGATTTTTATAATTTATTTTTCAATATAAATATGAAGTCTAAACCATATGCACAAAACCAAACACAAGCATCACCATCTTTTAAAATTAAAACCCTTGATTCCATACCTTTCTTCCTTAGCATAAAAGATTAAAGGAACCTTTATTTGGCAAACTGAATAAAGTATATGGAATGGTTGCTATTCTTGATTTGCAAACCGAAATGCCATCAAACAAACAATTAAAAGGAACCTTTTGAGCTTCTAAATTATAAACCATCAAAAATTAGTAGACTTTGACAGATTGATAGTTAGCTCCTAAAATGATATCTTAGTGTGAAGTTTTCCAACTCGAACTCTAAATGCCTAGCTCAAAAGTCTTGTAGGGGTGTCCCAATAGTTAAAAACTTAAGCCTTTATGTTGGAGATCTCAAGTTTAAATCTTGAAGAGAGATTTGGTAAAGGGAGGGCTATCTTCTATTATATAGCCGACCATCTGATATACAAAAAAAAAAAAAAAAGCGCCTAGTTCAGATGAACATTTGAGCAAAATCATAGCTTATCACAATTAACAAAGGAGATAATGGCACTATCAGTCCCTACACCCTCAAACTTTAAGTGCTTTGGTTCCTATACTCTCAACATTCAAGCACTTTAAATGTCACTTATTTCATCAAAGAATCAAACCAAATTTCACATGACGGAAAAATATAACCTTTTTTTAAAACAAATACATGTATCACGATAACAGACATGAGTGTCCATAAAGCATAGTCTAAAACAGATTCTTCTTCTTCCCATTGCCAAAATGGTTCTTCAACTAACTGGTGTAATCAACGGTCCTGTGTTGCAAACACCCTTTTCTGGAAGACTCTTTTCTAGCGGCATCTTTTCTAACCAGAATAACGAATTTGGTAAAGTCTGTGAAGATGATGAGTCCCACGATGAGGAAGAACATTGGGGTCAAACAGATGGGAATCACGAAATTGTTTCTGCGCAATGTAGCGTTCAGCCCCTAGCAACGAGATTAGGAACAAGAACTTGCCTGTCATAAGCAATAAGTGGGTCTGCACTTTTTGATACCGTTTGCCGCCGCCACCGCCACCGTCATGGAGTGTGAAGGCCATGGCGACGAGGTTCACGAACTCCACGATGATCGTGACTCACTGGAATTCTTCCAATTAGACGGTGGCGCGAAAAGGGTTTGTTTTCTTTCTTTCTTTGTAAACACGCAGCGTAACGCTACTTGTGCGACCCAGTCCAGTCCAAATCAACAAAAACACTGACTTGGAATTTCCAAGTCAGCAGTTCCACAAAATTCCAAAACCGAACTTTTAATTTCCTGAAAAATATTGATTAATTAATAAATATGAAAAAAAAATGGGTTTACATTTTAGATCATAAAACATCAATCTTTGAATAAATTTATCTTCAAATGTTAGATAAATCTTTATTTTATCATTTAAGACAATCTAAACTATAAAATAGTAGATTCTTATAAACAATAAAATAAATTATATTTATTCTTTAACAAATAAAAATATAAAAAATTAA